CGCTTATCTGCAATTTTACTTTCCATGGTTTCAGTTACCTGTGGTCAACCAGGGTCTGAAACTATTAAATAGAAAATTCCAGAAATAATTTGATATAAATAAGGTTATTATAGTGTATCATTACAGATGTTCTGTTAGTTGTTGTTGATCTCCTTCTATGGCTAATTTATAAATGAAACTTTATCCTAGGTATGAATGGATGGGGAGAACAGTACAGTGATTAGTGCCATCTGTGCTTTTGGGCATCTGCCGGGATCTTGAATAAGTAAGGGAAAGAGTTTTGTGTTAGTTTCTGTTGCAACGTAACAAATGTGCACAAGCTTAGTGGCTTAAATGTTCTCTCTCATTAGTGCACAGTTCTATAGGCCAGAGGTCTAGGCTGGCTCATCCAGCTCCTGTGCTTCACGTCACAAAGTCTGGGTGGAGGACCTGAGGCTCTGGGGAAGAATCTGTCCAAGCTCTTTCTGCTTTGGCAGAATTGGGCTCCTCGGCTTGTAGGGCCGAGCTCCTGTCTCCTTGCTGGCTGCAGCCAGATACCTGTCTTAGCTCCCTCCACTTTCAGCCCTGCTGGGGTGGGGGGGCACATGGAGTCCTTTCCGGCTTCAAAACCCTGGCTTCTTCTGCGCCCACTGGAGAAAAGGGCTCTTCAAGGGCTCATTGATGGCAATCAGGGCCCCCAGATGTCTCCCTGTCTTAGGGTTGACTTAAGAAATGGTGCTAAGGTAACATTAATTATACCTGGGGCAAACGTTGATTGCATCAGCAGGTCCCTTTGTCCTGTAAGGTAGCATGTTCCCAGGAATAAGACCACAGGCGGAGGTTAGGGGACCCTCCTGGAACGGAGCCTGCCCCAGGGTTAAACTGGGTGGGCTGTGTCAGCAGAGACAGTGCAGAACAGCTGCATCTCTTAGGAACTAAGTGAATTGTGTGTCCTTGACTTGTGTTTTCTCATTTAATTCTCAGGACAGTCCCTTGAGGTAGGGACAGCTATCTTCACTACAACTTTCCAGATAAGGAAACTGAGACTCAGTAGATTTAAGTCCCTTGGGCCAGGTGCGACATTTAGTACCCAGCATCCTGCATGGGGTTGGCGTCTCCAGTTTGATTTGTGGAATGCAGTTGAGGGCTGGTCTTCCCCAGCTGGCATTGAGAGTGATCAAATATGAAGTATGTTTGATGACTCAGGAAGGGGACAGACAGTGGGCCCACTCCCCTGGGCTCAGCAGGGCTCTGGATTATTTTCATTCTTATTTCAGTAGGTATGGTGGTTAATTCACTTGCTCCTCCCTGGAAACTTGGGTTTCTAATATGTCCTGGGCATCAAAGAGGATGCAGAATACTGTCCTTGAGGATTGGCAGATATAGATAAGGACACAAGACACTGACCTGAAGGAATAAAAGATGCTGGCCAGCAGGAGGAGAAACATTTCAGTACCACAGCAGAGATACAAAGGGTGCTAGCTAGAGTGTAAAATCCCAAAGATGAGACAGGGCGGCCCCTCACTCACTTCAGTGACCCGAGCACCTGTAGGCCCAGTCAGTGCATGGCAGGTGCCCAGAAATTCCTTGTTACTCTTTTCTTTTTGAGCACATACTGTATGCAAAGCCCTGTGCACTGAACAAGTATAAAGTCTAGAGGGGGTGAAAAGAGGGATTAGGGAGAGAGGGGACTTGAGCAGGGAAGGCTGGGGAGGAGAGAAGGGAGTTCAGAAAGGGGGACCTGTTGAACAAGCCTGGGGCCAGAGCTTCCTCCCAGTCTTCCAAGTAAGAGATCAGCAGTCAGCAGGTTACCACTGGTGGCAGTGAGGAGCCCCTGGGGCACAGGGGTCCTGTTCTAAGCCAGTCTGCAGCAAGAGGGCAGGACTGGGAAAGAAGGCCCAGGGCATGGGCCCACAAAGGAAGGTTTAATGGACTTGGTGGCCAGAGAGTTAAAAGTATACATGAGTGAGTGGCTATTTATGGGCACCGCACCATGGATTTGCTATAAATACACAAACATGCAATTTCTCAAAGCCAAGAGTCATCACCTGCAACGCCCACGTGCTGTGGCCAGAGCACCGCCCTGTACTTTGCCTCTGGGCCCCGTCTCTGAACACTGGGGAGGCCTGTTATTTCACAGTGAGGTTGTTTTTCCTTTGCTATCTGGGATCAAACTCGGGTCCTTCCACTTGAAAGGCAGGAAGTGGAACCACTGAGCTAAATCCCCAGCCTGAGCGAGGCCTGCTACTTCGAAGGAGGGTGGGTTGATCGTTGGGTGAGGCAGGCCCCTGCTAGCTGAGGAAGGGGCCATCGGGCTGCAGGCAGCCTGTGAGAAGGGAGGTGCCCCTGACCCCAGTAGCTTTGAGCACGTGGTAGTGTGAGCCAGGGAGGGGAAAGGAAACCCCATGCAGGTCCCCGTACTTCGACCGAAGCTAAAAGCATGGGTGATGTGGAGGGTAAGGACGTTCTGCTAGCCTGGTCTTCTCAGATTCTTTTGAGGATTCGCAGGTCAAAACTATTTTCGTGGTAACACAATGATGGGTTTGCCTCGCTCATGCACTTTCTCCCGAGTGCGTAGCTCCAGGAAGCAGTGTTTTCTGGATGACCCATGCACTGTGTTACAAAATCACGCCTGGGTAAACCATCCATTCCAAATTTGGGGCGGGCCAGCTGAGGAGAATGTCACAGAGTACAGAAGTTCACTGATAAGCTCAGGTTCCACACCACAGTGAGCCTTTCAGAAACTACCACTTGTCCAGTCTTAGCTTAAGTTGAAGAATATCCAGTTATGTAAAAGGCTGAAGCTGCCCGCCCCTGTCCAGCCAGCTGTCCAGAGGAGGCAGGATTTTCTTCCTAGTCTCTTGTCAAAACTCATCTCAGCAGACTGACTGCAAAAGCAGATTTCAGCCACTATTCTCAATAAGAGGTATCTTTGGGAAATTGATTTATCCAAGACAGTTCTTGTTTATGTGTACAGCTAATGGATTTATTCTTATTTTTAAATTAACGTTTAAATTTTTTCTCAGTTTTACTTTGAAATATAGTGATCATCTATAGCCAAAACCACATCAACAAAGGCAGCTCAGGGCCTCGGTCATGTTTAAATTGTAAGTAAGCCGAAAACCAGTGTACCCCTCACGGTCCCACAGGGTGGGATCTGCATCCGGGCCCGGAACTGGCTCTACATCCCTTTCCTCCTCTAGTTGTTCAGCAGCCCTTTGGGGTCATGGTTATTTTTATTCCCAGGCCGTAAGCAAGGACTAAGGTACTGAGGATGTGATTGTGGGTGGGGAGTGGCAGCGCACAGGGGACCAGGCTGCAGGGGCTTCCAGTAATGATGCCACCCCCACCTCAGGTGTGTGCACATCGCTTCTATTCTCGGAGCCTGTGTTTGCCCATCGGGATGGGGTCACTGTTGTCAGAACAGCATTTGTGTGGTGTGTATGTGAATAGGTAGTCCAGTTCTCAGCATGTGCAAAACATCCTATACACAACTCTTGTCATTTCGGCACCTAAAATCCGCTGCTGCAGCTGTGTCATACTCTGCTGTGGGGATGCAGCAGTGTTTGCATAACCCAGCTTCATTCGTGAGCACTGAGGCTGTTCCTAGCCTTCGCTACAGTGGAAGTTCATGACCAAGTGTGACAGAAGGCGAGTTCCTAGGAGCGGAAATGCTGGGGCAGAAGCGCGTGTGCCTGTCATTTCAGAGCACTCTGCCTCGCTGTTCTCCTCAGAGGGTCCTGGCCACCTTCCCCTTGTTCTCTGGATGGGGACAGGAAGTGCAGTGCTTTGGGCGCTAGGAGACAGGAGGAGGAGTCCACTGCCAGTTTATGGCCAGTGCTTTACTCTAGTTTTTTCTGCTCTCTAGGACAAGTTCTTTTCTCCAGGCTGTTGCCTCAGGTGGCTCGTAGAAAGTGATACTTGGGTCAGCGTGCTTTTTGTTTTTTTCCTACCAGGAATGGAGCTCTGGTCCTTGAGGCTGCAAGGCAGGTGGCGGAATCACTGAGCTAAATCCCGGCTGGCCAGCGTGCTTTTAATGGCTGTGGGATCAGACCGAAGAAGAGCATTTGCATGGGCCAGGCGGGAGGAGGCCCCTCAGGACTCTGTGTTTGCTTAGGAGGGGGCTGCACTCTCTGCTGTTTCTCTTTCCTGCTCACTCTTGGAAAGGAAACCAGTTATTTCACCGGGTGGGAGAACCTGAGTGTTGGGTTGTTAGTCCCCTCTGTGGCTAGGGCAGTGGTCTGATAGGGGTCTGGAGCCGCAGCTGGGCTTGGGGGTGACCCCCAGCTCTGGGACCAGGGACAGTTGCATTCCCCCCACTCCTGGGTAAGGGGAAGCAGAGTGCAGCAGGTCCATCTGCCACCCTCCCAAGTGGGGAGAAGCCTTTTAGCAGGAGTGGCTTCTGCTTGGCTTGGCCCACTGCCTGCTTGGGGAAACAACTTCACGATAGCATCACATCAAAATCTTTGGATATTCTGCAAGTTTATCTAAAAAAAATAAATCTAATTCAGCCAAAGCTGGTTTTGTTTTTGGATAAAAATTCAAAAACCAACGGGTAATCTATGTAAATAGGGAAGGATGGAGGGGTGAAGGGCGCACAGGTAATGGGGAAAAAAATAAGAACCAAGATACGTTATGTTCAGGTACAAGCACCCAATGATAAATGGAAATGTATTGTATACCTAAAATGTACCAATAAAAGAATTTAAGAAAAAAAAAACCCAATGGGTGAATGTGTTAGTGAATCATGGTTAGTATGTTTCTAAGGTATGAAAATGTAGTTGATCACCGCAGGATAAAACTACCATGTTAAAGGCTGGGGATTTAGCTCAGTGGTTCCACCGCCTGCCTTGCAACCGTAAGGTCCTGAGTTGGATCCCCAGTAACAAAAACAAAAACAAACAAAAAACAAACTACCATGTTTCGTGAGGTGCCAGAGACAGGTCTGGTGTCTGTAGCAAATGAAGGGCAGGAAAATGGCAACCATGAGAAAAGTTAAGATAGAAACAGTATAAAGAGTATTCTGTAATTGCAACAATTTAATTTTTATTTACTTTTTAAAAATGTGTCCTATGGGAATTGAACCCAGGGCCTCACCTATAGTAAGTGGATGGGCTACTGCTGAGCTACACACCCCCGGCCCAAATGCAGAAATTTCAACATGTTTGTGGATGAGAGCTGGAAATGATAAGCCAAAGTAAAAAGAGTTCTTCTGTTTGCAGCATTTCTCAACCTTTGCTTTTCAGCACCTTCCCAGCCCAAAAGCTTTTAAATTCGCCCACCCCTGTTACTTTTCATACCACCCCTCCCTGTGAAAATCCTGTGTTATGAGAGTCTGGGAACTTGCATGTCTGGCTCCTCTTGTTGCTGCTGTCTTTTCCGATGGAGCTCCTGGGTGTGTCTCTGCTTGGTCGGCAGAGCTGTCACTGAGGAGGCAGGACTCTGGGTGGAGAGATGGGCCGTGACCTTTGTGGCCTTGTTTGCCCCTTCCCAGGCTGGGCGTGTGGCTGGAACAGTCCCTCTAGAAGAATTCTGCTCTCTGGCTTCTCTCCTCGGCAAGACAGGTTCTCTTTGGAAACATACTAAGTTGGTGGTGGGCTGGCCACTTCCATGCTTGGTATTTGAGTAGCTGAACAAGTCCTGGGAGCTCGTCAGGTCCTTCCGAAGGTGGCCTTTCTCAAGCACGTCTGCATCTGAACACAGAGAGTGAGTGAGCCAAGAGTGCCCACCGTTAGCCACTCCGCTCAGGAGAGAGCTGAGCTCATGGCCTGCAGTGGGTGTCTTGGGGCAGGAGGCGAAATCCTCTTTGGATGTCACTGGCGTGTCACAGAGGCTGGTGAGAAAGGCTGCTCCATGGGGCGGAGGGAGAGGGCAGTGTCCTGGTGGCAAACTTGGGGCTAAGCTTCGCAGGCCTGGGACCCCTTTGGTGCGGGGAAGGGGGGCCTTGGGTTTGAATGCCAGCCCTTCCCAGCCTCGAGACTAGGTCCTAGAGTGTAGTTGCGGGAACACCCTGGAGCTGGAGCCCTGGGCTCTGCTCACCACTCCCATGGGGCTTTGGGCAAGTTCCTCGCATCTCTGGGCCTGGTTTCCTAGCCTGTAAGTGTAACTGTCCCCAGGGCTGTGGTGGCGATTGGATGGGACGGCATGGGTGCTGCTTCCTTAGCAGTAACCTGTGAGCTTCTGTTTCTCGTCTGAACTGCCGAAGTAGTGGGCATGTGGCAAGATGGCACCTCCTGGCGCTCTCGGGGCTACACTTTCCAGTCCTCCCCTCTCCCTTTGGCATGGTGACTGATGTGACAGGGCAGCAGCCCTATCACCCGGGTTTCTGGGGCCAGCTATGAGAACATGTCACAACCACAAAGCATGCAGTGTGAGCAAGTAACAAATCTGTCCAGGAAGGCCGCTGCAACCCAGGGCTGTGGGCTGCTGTGGTGGACCCTTGGCCACCCCATGCAGACTGTCAGTCGTGACCGTGCTGCCGCACTCGGTTGTGAAGGTTGGGTCGCATATGCAAAATGCCTGATGCGGTGTCCCGTACACGGCAGGCGCACGTTTGATGCTCTGTCTCGGCCGGGTTTTGCGGGACTTGACCCCCGGCCTCTGTCCTGAGCCTCCCTGGGAAGGCAGAGCTGCTGACTGGGGCGAAGGCGTCTCATTTGCATCCATGGGGTGTGGCCACTGGAGCCGAGCTGAAGCAGCCTCTGGCTCAAGTGTGAAGCCTTGGTTGTGCCATGCGCAGGGGGCACTGAGGCACTGGCCTCCCTGTCCCTTCCCAGCTCTGGCTGCAGGCAGTTGGAGCCTGAGGGAGATAGAGACAAAGAGCCATTGGGGAACGTGCATGTGTGAGAGGGTGACCGTGGCTTCAGGAGAGCAGGTGGGAGGCGTGCTGTCTTGGTGTGCTGTGTCCGAGGCGGGGAAGGGGTGCCATCCTGGCCTCCCTTTGTGGGGAGCTGGCTGAGACAGGGAGATTCGGGGGCCGCCTGAAGAGAAGACCTGCGTATCACCAAGCCGTGCCCGAAGCAGACCTCTTCACCTGCCTCGGGCCCTCCCTGCGTGCCAGTATGGGAGGCGCGGGGGGTGAGGCGGGGGTCAGAAGGTGCACCTTAGCACGACGCCTGTGTCTTCCCCGCGTGGAAGTTGTTCCACAGTGAAAGGCTGAAAACAAAACCAAAATAGGCATTTATGCACAGCGGGAAATATGAACAGCCCTGGTCTCTGCATTTTAAATAAAAAGCAGGGTCCGTACCATTTTGAACCTAGGGTCTCATGCATGCTAAGCACACACACTGTCACACTGAGTTTCACACACCCCACCTCCTGGTCCTATAATTTTTTGGACAAATATAGATAAAGGGTTTTTTGTTTGGCTTTTTTTTGAAAAACGGCCATTGCAAGGCAGAAGCATCCAGGGAGAGAGGACTCATTGTCTGATAGAGACTGCACTTGAGTCTAGAATGATCTGTGGCTCTGCTTCATTTTGAGTTAACTGGGATTATCTGCCTGTGGCACATGCTTAGCTCATGTTGTATTTGGAAATGGCAGGGATGGATACCGCTGTGCTCTGTGGGCCTCCTGAGCTGGGCCTGGGCTCACGAGGGTGGTGTGTGATGTGAATTGGGTTTGCTGTGCGTCTCGGGCCTGGGTGGGGAAGGGATGGAAGGTCCATTCCACCCCATCGAGGGGAGGCTGTGCAGGTTCCACTCCCGGTGTTGGGGTCACATCAGTTGAGCACTGGGCATGCATGGTTCCACTTTCCTGGTTCCCCTGTGCAGTCAGAGAGTATGAAACAGCGTATGTGGGAACAGTCTGGGCCTCATGACCTCATCTGTCCCTCGGGTCTGGCTACCTCGCTCAGATACGACAAGCCAGTGAGGAAATGAACGGCCGCTGTCACTGGAAAGCTGGCCCAGGCCCAGGCCCAGCTGCCCACCAGAGGTGGGCCAAGCTAGGAGACAGCCAAGCAGGTGCCCTGCTTGCTGCTCTTGGCACAGAGCGGCCTCAGGCCGGGTAGCTGGTAGGGGTGGGGACCTGGCTGCTGCAGGTGCCAGTTACTGGTGTCCTTGCTGTGGGTTTAGCGGGTCACCAATCAGCTCTGGGGCCCTGGGCTGCCCATCCAGTGTTAGCCTGGAGTGGTCACTGCTTCATGCCCTTTCCTGGGCAGCCTTGCTGCTGTTGGAATTTGCTCCACAGTTTGCACTTTTGAGCCTTGCTTCATCCTGCCCCTCAAAGGGGGTCTCCACTGGGCTGCCCTCGCAGGCAGCTCTAGAACACAGCGTGGAGAGGACCCAGCCCTGGCCCGGCAGCCCCATGGCCAGCTTCCTCGAGAGCCTGGACTGGACCCACAAGGGGGTCAGTGAGGGAGTGGAATGCACCCCACAAGGGCCCTGCCCAGGCCGGGAAGCCCAGAGGGGCTTGTGGTGTGCTGTTCACCCATGCTGGTGGGGAAACCAGGGCCCTCTGTCACCAGCCAGCCCGGGCCAGCCCTGTGGATAAGCAGAGGAGCACTAGCTGTGGGGAAAGGTCTTGGGCCTGGGAGTCTCAGCCCCAAATTGGAGTCCTTCCTGGCCCTTGTCCCTCTGAGCCCCCAGTGTGGTCTCCAGATCAGAGCAGAGGTAATAAAGGCTCCTAAAATGGCCCAGTGCAGTGCAGGTGTAGGTGGGGCGAAGCCACTGGGTGAAGGGCCACTTTAAGGAAAGCATCCAGTGACAGACGGGGTGGAAGATGGGTTTAGCAATCACAGCAAGGTTTGGGGAAACATGTCACAGAGTCCGGCATTCACATTGGGCAATTCCCATCCACTGGGGGCCAAGCCATGGGCATGGATCTGACTGGGTCAGCGAAGCCGCTTGGTCTCCATGATGCCCCATCCCAGGGCCAGCTTGAAGGACACATGGGAAATGATTGCCAACAAGTGAGTGAATTGTGGAGGCCAGAGTGGGCCGAGGATTACTCTCTGTAAAAGAGGAAACTGAGGTACAGAGGAGGGGAGAGGTGGTCCAGGGCAGGGGTAGACCTGAACTCAAACCCTCACCCTACCCTGGGCTGGCCTGTGATCCTGGAGCCCAGTAGCCTGGGCTTTGAAGTTCACCCGGCAGTGTGCCCGGCCCAGATCACAGGGCCCCTCTGCCCCCTGCCCCCTGCCCCAGCCCAAGAGTGTGGACCTTGCCTGGGCAGCTCTCCCTGATCGTTAATTTGTAACTTCTCCAGTTCTTCATCAGGGGAGGAGAGAGGGAAAGATGCAGTTGGACACTAATTTATAACTTCACTGAAGCATGAAATCGCTTCCTTTTGGGCGGAATATGAGAGGAGTCATATACTCTGAGAATTAAAAATGCAAAGACCGCCACCCTCAGTCTCCCGCAGGAGGAAGGCACCACAGATGTTTTGCGGTCGGGACACTGAATGCAGCTTGGTTTTGGCTGCTGCTTCTTGAGCACATGATTTCTCTGCATATAGCTGGAGACTTCTTTTTCCAGAACTGAACCGAACCGTATCAACTGGGCTTTGCAGGGTTTTGGAAATCCTCCCTGGTTCAAATTCATTTGCATTTGAATCAAAGCCAAAGTGCTTGAGTCCCCAAATTGAAGCAGGTGGTGAACCTATGTCTATGTTATTGCTCAGACCGAGTGCTGAGTGCCAGGTCCTTGGGGCTGGCCGAGGAGGCAGGAGAGCTGCCTGCTGAGACCCAGGACCTGCAGTCACCTGGAGGGCTGGTGGCTCTGAGTGTCTGGTCTTTGCGGAAGCCAGTCTGGCATGCTTCAGTGTTGGTCGTGCCCCACTGCTGTCCTGGGCTTTGTCTCTGAGTCTCTGTCAGTGCCTTCACCTCCAAATGCTCACTCATCCCAGTTGGGTGCAGAGGGCTCCAAAGACCCTGGGGTTCAGCAATCACAGCAAGGTTTGGGGAAACATGTCTTTAAGGTCCAGAATTCATATTGGCAGTTCCCATCCAACAGGGGCCATACCATGGTAGAGTGTGTCTACACTGAGTATCTCTCCAAGGGCAGGGACCGTCTGGCTACTACAGCTTGGATCCCAGCTGGGGACAGGTGCCCTGGGAGCAGGGGCAGAGAGGAAGGCTCTGGGCTCTTCATGGGTCCTTGGAAATGTGTTCAGAAGTCTCCAGAGCAACCTGCAGGAATCAGTCTCCTTGGGCCAGGGGAGGGCAGAGGCCGGGCTTCATAGCCAGACAACCCACCTGGGCCCTGCTGTACAGCTGGCTCCTGACAGAGGCCTCCCCAGAGCACCATCCTGAGGGGCAGAGTGTGGCTGAGGGCGCTCACTCCTGAGCGCTGCCTGGCCACTGCTCACTCAGGTTAGGGGCCCCCTTTCATGTGCTGCTCATCACAGGAGGCAGTGACAGCTCATCGTGAGTCCCAGCGCTGGGCCAGGCAACAAAACCTGTTTCCACAAGTCAAGGAGAGGCTCAGCCCCTCTTGCCCGAGTCTTTGGAGATGTGCTGAGTGCGTGGGGGAGGCTTGTGGGAGCCAAGCAGAGGAGCGGGAGATGACAGGGCATCCAGGCTGAGGGCTGAAGGTTGCTCGAGCAGGAGGGCGCCTCTCACCTGTGTTTGTCCTGTAGGTCATGCACCATGTCGGTCAGCGTCCACGAGACCCGAAAGTCGCGGAGCAGCACAGGTTCCATGAACATCACCCTCTTCCACAAGGCCTCACACCCCGACTCCGTGTTGGCCCAGCTCAACACGCTGCGCAAGCAGCGCATGTTTACTGATGTCACGCTCTGGGCTGGTGACCGTGCCTTCCCCTGCCATCGCGCCGTGCTGGCCGCCTCCAGTCGCTACTTCGAGGCCATGTTCAGCCATGGCCTGCGGGAGAGCCGGGACGACACGGTCAACTTCCAGGACAACCTGCACCCCGAGGTGCTGGAGCTGCTGCTGGACTTCGCCTACTCCTCCCGCATCGCCATCAACGAGGAGAACGCTGAGTCACTGCTGGAGGCGAGCGACATGCTGCAGTTCCATGATGTGCGGGATGCAGCCGCCGAATTCCTGGAGAAGAACCTGGGCCCCTCCAACTGCCTGGGCATGATGCTGCTGTCGGACGCGCACCAGTGTCGCAGGCTGTACGAGTTCTCCTGGCGCATGTGCCTGGAGCACTTCGAGACAGTGCGGCAGAGCGAGGACTTCAACAGCCTGTCCAAGGACACGCTGCTGGACCTCATCTCCAGTGACGAGCTGGAGACCGAGGATGAGCGGGCTGTCTTCGAGGCTGTCCTGCAGTGGGTGAAGCACAGCCTTGAGGAGCGCAAGGCCCACCTACCTGTGCTCCTGCGTGGCGTGCGGCTGGCCCTGCTGCCGTCCAACTACCTGAAGGAGGTCGTCTCTGGCGAGGCCCTCCTCACGGCCGACGAGCGCACCCGGCCGACTGTGGACGAGGCCCTACGCTGTAAGACCAGGATCCTGCAGAACGATGGCGTGGTCACCAGCCTCTGCGCCCGGCCACGAAAGGCCGGCCACACGCTCCTCATCTTGGGGGGCCACACCTTCATGTGCGACAAGATCTACCAGGTGGACCACAAGGCCAAGGAGATCATCCCCAAGGCGGACCTGCCCAGCCCCCGGAAGGAGTTCAGCGCCTCAGCCATCGGCTGTAAGGTCTATGTGACTGGGGGCAGGGGCTCCGAGAATGGGGTGTCCAAGGACGTCTGGGTGTACGACACCGGCCACGAGGAGTGGTCCAAGGCCGCACCCATGCTGATCGCCCGCTTTGGCCATGGCTCAGCTGAGCTGGAGAACTGTCTCTATGTGGTGGGGGGCCACACGTCCCTGGCAGGCGTCTTCCCGGCCTCCCCTTCTATCTCTCTGAAGCAGGTAGAGAAATACGACCCCGGGGCCAACAAGTGGACGATGGTGGCCCCCCTGCGGGATGGCGTCAGCAATGCCGCCGTGGTGAGCGCCAAGCTGAAGCTCTTTGTTTTCGGCGGCACCAGCATCCACCGGGACATGGCGTCCAAAGTGCAGTGCTATGACCCCTCCGAGAACTGGTGGACCATCATGGCCGAGTGCCCCCAGCCTTGGCGGTACACAGCCGCCGCTGCCCTGGGGAGCCAGATCTTCATCATGGGGGGTGACACGGAGTTCACGGCTGCCTCAGCCTACCGCTTCGACTGTGAGACCAGTCAGTGGACGCGGATTGGGGACATGACCGCCAAACGCATGTCCTGCCATGCCCTGGCTTCGGGCAACAAGCTCTACGTGGTGGGGGGGTACTTCGGCACCCAGAGGTGTAAGACTCTGGACTGCTATGACCCCACCTCAGACTCGTGGAGCTGCATCACCACTGTGCCCTACTCGCTTATCCCCACAGCCTTTGTCAGCACCTGGAAGCACCTGCCAGCGTGAGGACACCTGCAGACCCAGCCAGGTGAGCCCCAGTGCGGCCCTGACTCTGGGTGGTGATTGTCGTGTCTCCAAGGAAGGCCTGCTGAGCAGCAGGTGGCTGGGGCTCAAGGACAGACAGTCCTGCCTCTCCTGGGGGTAGCTACATGGGCAGCTACTAGGGGGGCCCGTCTGTCTCCTGTCCCACGTGACACCTCAGGGCCCTCTCACACGCTGTTCCCCGTGCCTGCACTGCGGGCCCCCTCAGCACACTCCCACCCACCCACCTACCTCCCTTCACATCTCGGGAAATACCACTTCCTTCCTACACCCTTCGCCAAAACACTCGCAGTCCTGGCTCCAGTCCTGTTACCTTGCGTTTGTAGCACTTCTCCCGAGGTGCATTCCCGCCGTGTAATCCCCGGAGGACAGTGTGTGCTCCGCGGGATCGCCAGGCCTGCCAGGGTGGGGGTGACGGGGAGTGTGGCAGGAACCCCCGCTCAGGGTGCCGGGCCCTGCGGCCACGTCCAGGCCTGACGTGAGGCCTCTGTCCTGTCGTTTTCTCACAGAACGGGGACTGCTGTGGCGGCAAGGCGCTCATTCCTTCTCTTCTCTGTCCTCACAGACTCTGCGTGTCTCTCCCAGCCCTGCGGCTCCCACTGTCCCCGGGGCGGGGCCTGGGCCTGGTTGCCCGGAGGTGTGGCCACGCTCTCACCCCTCCAGGGGCCGGAAGCCAACTGCTCCTGCTCTGGCAGAGGCCTCCTCGCCGCCTGGGCTGTCCTGCGCTTCAGAGCTTCAGACCAGAGGAACAAAGCCTCCCGCATCCTGTGCCTGGGGGCCTCTCCAGCTTCAGGCACAGGGCGAGGAGCTCGAGAGAGCCTCGGGGAAGAACTCGAGCGGAGCCCCGAAGCTGCCTATGTCATCGAGCCCTGGACTAGGGCTGGGGTCAGGAGGGTAGTCCAGGCCGGGGTGGGGCCAGTGGGTGGCCTAGGTGGGCTTTGGTCACCCGGAACTGGCCCCCAGTCTTTGACTCACGGGCTGCCCGTGGGAGGTTTTAATGTCACCTGACAGATGGTACTTGGGCCTCAGGGAAGCAGGGTCTCCCTGACTGAGAGCAGGTGGTCGTCATCGAGGAGAAAACTGAGCACAGTTTGGAGGACACCATGGGGTGACTTCAGTGACACCACAAGATTTCATTAACAAATCCACCCAGATCCCCAAAAGCCCAGCCTGTCCCACGGAGGACCAAGTTCTAGGGTGCTGCTCCAGGTGTGGGACAGGTGCCCCTGCCCAAGGACATGGGGACAGTGGGACTGTAGCCCTGGGGAGCACTCGGCCACCTCACCGCCCCTCCTCAGAGTCCACAGCACCACAGTCCGCAGCACTGGGCTCCGTCCCAGGAGACCACACCTCTCCAGGACAGGCCAGCTCTGAGCTAGTAGCAGAGGGGCCTTGGAGGAGTCTCAGAGTGGGGGACAGTGCCGCAGCAGTGCCCGCCATCCTTCCTGCTGGGTAGCACTGGCTTCTCCCGTTTGTTCCCTGAGCTCAGAGAGTAAGAACAGTCCCTAGGTTTACCAGGTACTTGCCCACCGCTGTCCCCTCTGGCATCTTGTGGATCTCTTGTCAGTGTGTCCCCAGCAACCAGGTTGCCCCATGCTGTCATCTTCTGCCAATGGCACTTTACCTGGGCAGAGGCCCCAGCTCACCCCTCACTTGACCAGGCCTGCAGAGTGGGCCGCATTTTTACTGGGGATTTAGGGCCACTAGGGCCCCTGTACAAAGCTGGAGCTTGAGCCCCGGTGTCTCAGGGGAAGAGGACCCGGGCTGGGCCTGCCAAAGGAGAGCTGCTCCTTGGGCTCCTCAGGCCCACAGACGCGGCCCGTGTCGCAGGCCCCCTGTGCTCTCAGCCTCCCCTCTGCTGGAGGCTGGCAGAGCAGCCATGGCCCACAGGGACGCACACCTGCAGTGACCCTGCGTGGGGGCCTGCTTGAGATAAGCACACGTCCCACAGCACCAAGGATCTAGCCACGGTGCTTTCCCCAAGTTGTGAGGCTCTTACCGAGTTTTCTAACTTAATAAAAAGAGTTGAACAAATTCTTGGCCTGCCTTGGTTGCTGGGATGTCTTGGCCGGGCCCCCCTGGTATTGTGGGGAACGCCCCGGGATAGGAGGGCTTCCCCTGAGGCCCCACCTGTTCAGGCCCTAGCAGCTTTCATCGTAGAATCCCGGCCCTGCCTCCCCACTCCTGAGCATCCTGTGGAAAGGGCCAGGTTGAAAGGGTAGCCTGTCGGTTGGGCAGACATCGGTACGCCTTGTGGGCCGTTGGTTGGCATATGTGTGAAAGTGCCACACTATCAGGACGGGCACCAGGCCTTCGGGCAGTAGTAATCGTTCCAGAGTCTGTGGCCTCTTAGCTGCTGGCCTGCCCAGCTGGCTGCTCTCCTCGCTTCTCGGCCATCAGCAGTGACTCAGGCCACCCTAGCTGAAGCACACAGCTGCGTCGTGGCCTGGGTGGTGGGGGACCTGACTGTGGCTCTCCTCAGGGGCAGCCTGAGGAGGCAGTGGCAACCAGAGGGTGCTGGGAGAGCCTGGAAGTGCCTTCACGTCTGCAGGAACCGCTGAGTGGCTCTCATCTCCTGTGGCCCTCAGCGGCCAGAGGGCCACAAACCACACGGGGCACTGGCTGGGCAGAAGTGCTTCAGGTGCCAGAGGGCACAACATCGTCACCTTCCTGTAAAATTGAAATCTCCTGGGATGCATGGGTGTCTCCCGGGGCCTGGCAGCAGAAGTGGGGGCTTGGCCTGCAGGTAAGACTGCTGGAGACATCCTGGACAGCAAGCAGAGGCAGTTTCCTTCCAAGCAGTGGGAAGCCCAGCCTCTGCTCTCCTTGTATTGGCATATTCCATTCAAGGCCATTTCCTGGCCCAACAAGGCCTCTGCTCCTCCCACCTGTCTGCTTTCCACCAGTGGAAAGGGGAGAAGGAGTGACAGCCAGGCCCCTTTAAGTTCGTCACCCAGAAGGGGCACAGCTCCTGCACTGTGCTGGTTACTTTTCTCTGGTTGCTGAGAAAGTCGCTCACATGGGCTGGATTTGTCCAGTTCTAAGCAGGAGTGAAGGTGAGGAGATGTTTTTTTCTCTCTTTCCTGATAAAAGTCAGGGCTCCAAAGCCTTTCGGAGAGGGAGAAAGCACAGGGAGACTTCAGGGAGCCTCTTGGTCCAGGGAAGTGGCCTGACACACGGGCTTCCATCTGGACACAACTTGGGAGGCCTAAGGGACTTCCTCAAGCTGCTCCTTCCCCAGACTGTGACCACCTGTGGCTTGCCTCCGTTCCCAACACCCTTCCCCAGTTGTCCTTCACTTTCGCAACAGAGACAGGCTCCCTGCTTTGCTCAGACTGTGCAGCCTTTTGGGCAACAAAGGGCAGGTTAGGACTGGGCAGCCCCTGAGGGCAAGGTTAACCGGAAAACATGAAGTTACTAAGGAGGGCGTGCCTTTTGGAACTCAGTTGACAGGTGCATCGCAATGTTCCATTTCTTTGTATGTCTGTTTGTCCACCCACCCATCGACCTACCCATCCATCCATTCATCCATCCACCCATGCCTCTGTCCATCCACCCACACATCCATCCATTCACCCGTTACCTTTCCACCTCTTTCCCTATCCAATTCTTAGCTTGAATCCTAATTCAGAAATGAGATCGTTGTCACTGGGATGCAGAGTAACATTCCTATTTAAAACTTTACAAAACTCATTTTGTCCTTAAGGAAATTAAATTCTGACTTGGCTAATGAGTTTGTTGCACTGCTTTGCTAATTAGGTTACCTGGTGGGCATTTCTTACACATTAAACAATTGACATTGAAACAATTTCCATCAGCCCTAAATACATTTGAAAGGATGTAAGTAATATATTCCCAGTTATACACAGATGGTTCTGCCTTTTTTTTTTTTTTTTTGTATTTTGAGATGGAGTCTCAGTTACCCAGGCTGGACTTGAACTTGCAATCCTCCTGCCTCAGCCTCCTGAATAGCTGGGATTATTGGCACATGCCTGCATTCCTGGCTGGCCACACTGGCTTTTATGATGGTTCAACTTAAGGTTTTTCAACCTTACTGTGGTACAACAGCAGTATGCACTCAGCAGACACCGTCCTGGAGTTCTGAAGTCTACCCTCTCCCTGAGCTAGAGACTTGTGGTACAGTATTCCCTTGCAGTGCTCTGCAGCTGCCCTCCAGCCCTGTGGTCATGAGGGGTAAGGTTGGACACTCCACGATGGTGTCCTGGGTTGCTAAACTATTTGGTAGCTCAAGTGAATTAAACACATTTTTTACTTAGGATATTTTAAATTTACAAACCACTTATTGGAATATAATCTCATTGTAAAGTGCATGACATCTGTACTTTGTTAAACTTGTGAGACTATTTTAGAGATCAACTTAAAATTATGCAAGAGGGATATTATTCAAAAAAAATTTACGGGGAAAAGAACGCTATAGAGAGATCCCTGTATAGCGGGCACTGTCACCCATGCCTGTAATCTCAGTTACTTTGGAGGCTGAGTCAGAAGGATTTCGAGTTTGAACTCAGCTTGGGCAACTTAGTGAGACTCTGTCTCAAATGAAAAGGCCCTGTTAGGGTTTATAGCTAGATGTTCTTCAAGAGCCTCGTGCACTTACAGGTGAAGCTTTTGGAGAGTGATTGGGTTATAGGGGCATAGGGCTGATTTGGTGTTAGGAGGGGGGTGTGGTCAGAAGAGGCAGGTCCCTGGGGGCATGGCCTGGAGGAGGCCGTCTCCCTCCCCGCTCCGCTCCTCCTTCCACAGTCTGCTTCCTGGACACCGGAGCACAGGGACATGCAGCCCGCTGACCACGGACTGAAACCTCTACAAAATGTGAGCCAAAATAACCCCCCTCCTTTAAGCTGCAGGTGTCAGGTGCTGTGTCTCGGCGACGAGAAAGTGACTGGCCAGGCCCAGAGATGTAGCTGACTGGCAGGGGGCCCCTGGGGTCCTTCATTCCCTCCTCAGCATTTGCTGGGGGTAGGGAGGAGCACCATGTTTTATTCGTAGGACAGAAAATTGGGAACACACGAACACCTAAGTTCCCAGCAATGATTTATCTACAGAGTATTAAGCACCCAATGTTTACTTAAAAATATGAAATGAGCCATGGGATATAAATATATATAGAACATGAGTATAATTTTGCTTAAAAACTGCACACAGGAAATAATGGACACTTTCATGGAATGTTAATGGATATTTATTCCTGGCAATGGGATTATAGGTGTTTAAAACTGTTTTAAGAATGAGTGTCAGTATTTCCCACCATGATGCCGGGCCAGGCTGGGCAGGAGGGCTGCAGCTGAGGAAGAGACGGGTGGGAATCCTCAAGGGACATCAGCTAACGGTTGGCACCAGAACCTGAGCTGTGGGGGTGGCCTGGGTTTTCCTTGCCCAGCACCCACTCTGCCTCTGGAGGCCCCTGATGGTTCCCTGGAACCCAGCCCTGCTCAGCTCAGCTGTTCACTCCTGAGCCACTGCTTCTCTGCGTCTCCCTCATGTTTACCTGCTGCTTGGCACTGTCTGGGACTCAAGGCCCCCCGGGAGAGGGACATCATCCCTCAGGCCTGGAGCTGGTGTGCAAAGCCCAGGCATCCATCAGTCGGAGCTGGCTGCATTTCAGGGGACCCTGCTGGAGGGCACCTCAGCTGCAGAATGGAAGCTGGTCTCTGAGGTCAAGCCCGGGAGCCCTGCCCAGCCTGGGTTCTAAGCTGCAGCTGCAGGCTGGAACCGCCTGAAAGGCTCCAGTGTGACCTCTTCAGGCGCAGATGTGCAGCACTGGGCCAGAGCTCCACCAGCTGACTCCAGGGTGGTATGGGAGGCTGACACCAGCTGTAGTTTATTTTGTGGGTGTGACACATTCCAGGCCACCCAGCACTTGAGGGATGAGGTCTCACAAAGAACACACCTGTCATCATTGCAAAGGCTGCACAGGGAAGAAACCAGAGCTAATCCTGAGCAGGTCCCAGCAGCCGGAGGACCCTGCGGTGTCACATGCAGCAGGAGCAGAGCTCTTGGGAAGTGCTTGCTCTGAGGCGACCTTTTTCACCTGCGTTTCAACTGCCCTCTCATGGGGAAGCCTGACCCCTCTCAGAGGTAGCCTTGCACAATCCGGGGTGGCAGGCTCCTGTGAATCCTCAGCAAGGGCCGCTCGCTCACACACTAACCCTGTGGCCCGAGCACACTCATCCCAAGCAGACAAAACACTGACATACTTTCTTTGACCCAGAGGAATCAGAAACCCTTTGAGCTCCCCGAAATCAGAAGTACTTCTCCTGCCAGGTGAACACAGTACATTTCTTAGGATGAAGTAGGCCTTTGTCTTTTCAGTCCTTTTACTGCTTTCTCTCTCATTAATGTCAGGGGTTTGTGTTGTCCCCATAACACTGATGAGGACACTAGGTCAGAGAGGCTAAGCATGCTGCTCGAGCACATGGTGTGAATGTGACACTTCGGCTCTCCCAGCTGCCTTGTGGGGTGGGGCCCCCTCTAATCCCATCAGGGGCCGTGAGAGCTCCTTGGGCTCCCTGATCCTCCTGGTCCTAGGCCATCTGACCTGCTTTCAGCTGGAAGATTCAGGTGCTCAGCTGCTCCACAGCCCTGCTGCAGGATGGGCCCTTCAGCTGGACACTGCGGTGCGAGCCCACCCCGATCAGGTCCCTGCCGTTCTAAGGGTCTTGGCACAGTCCTGCCTGTCCTTTGTCCCCAGCCCCCAGCCCTGTGTGGTGATGGGGCAGGGGTGGGGGTCAGCTCTACTATAGCCTTGGGATGGGTCCAGGCCCAGGGGCAGGAAGAGTGAGGGTTAGGTTTGCCTGTGCCATCCAGGAGGCTTTCTAGAAGTGACAGTTAAACTGAGCCAATTGAGGGCAAGAGGGGAAGCTTATTCTGAATCTGCCTGTGTGTGGGCCAAGAGGCAAGAAGTATCCTGAGCCTGGTGCTGGTCTGGATGCTGCTGAGCAGGCAGAAAAGGCCTATTCTGCCCTCCAGGGACTCTCCGGGCAGAGGAGACAGGAATCCAGGACCTACTGCTG